TGCGATTGCGGTTCGTGGGGCTGCGTAGCAGATTTGACCTCCTCCCCCTACCCCTCTTCTGCAAATTCTAGAGTAAGACATCTTGCTTGCACGATTTGAGTCACAAGTTTCGGTCCTCACCCGCGGTGTGGGTGAGATTTCTTCGGAGCTCATTTCCCTGCAGTTTTAAGCGCGGTCAGAAAATCTCATTATTATGACTTGGAGGAAAAATTGTCTCCCTCACTCCGAGCACCACACTTTTCAGTGCGCCTACTCAATTCGGTTTGGGCCGCAGCGTCGCACCTGAAGAGGGAAAGGGGGTGGGGGAGGGTGTGCGCGTGTCCGAGACTACGACGATTGATAAATTATCTCGTTAACATAACTGCTCCGTCCCGTATATCACGGGGGACTTCTTCTACCCGGGGGTCGCACGCTCGCGAGGGCGCGCGCGGCGTCCAGTGAAAGTGACAAATACTTCCTGTCCGGCGGGGCGCCCTCCTGGAGGTGCACTCCGCCCTGCCCCTGACCCCGTCATCCCCGACCCCTTCACTGTGACCACGAAGAAGTGCGGAGACATAGTCATGATGTTCGAGCGGAACGTTTTGCGCGGATTTTTCGAAATGCGTGTTTGCCTTCGGGTTTGGCTAACCGTGTTGCCGTGTTCCTTACCTGTGGCTGCACTGTTGACAGGCGAAGCACTCGAGGTGGTACACGTTGTGCCTGGCCCTCATGACCATCTCGAAGGCCGGGATCACCTTGGAGCAGGCGGCGCAGTAGCCCGTACTGCCAAACAGCCTGCAGACAGAGATTTCAATTTAGCGTCTGACTTTATTTTACCTCCATGCAGAGTGGAGGAGAGCGGCGGCGCGCACCCTACCTGAGGTAGTCCCGCTTGCACAGGATGAGGTTGGCCTTGGTGTAGAGCGTGGAGCCCACCTCGCCCAGCCTGCAGTCGCAGCAGCCGCACTTGAGGCAGTCCTCGTGCCAGAACATGTCCAGAGCCTTGAGCAGGTACCTGCGGATATGCCCAACGTTCAAACTCTCTGGTCTCCGCGGTACCTCTACTTCTTGTAATCTACTCGCAGTTGTTCCCCCTCACCTCTCCGTGATGGCCTTGCCGCAGCCCGCGCACTTCTGCGGCGCGCCCGCCGGCTGCGCCTCCGCCTTGACGTCCATCGTCATCTTTCGCCGTCGGCCTGCAACGCAATATAATAAATCACATCAAACCCGCACTCTTCTTATCATTCCACATATTTTCATACCGCCTCCATTACAACTGCCAGATACTCCTTGTCCTTGCCGAAGGGGAGTCGTCGAGGGCGGGAGATATTCATACGATCCCGCTGCGGGTGGGAAGGGGAGGCTGTCCTGGCGGGGCCGATACCGTACCGGACAATGGAGGAGGTTTAAGGTCGGGTCAGCGCCGGCGATCCATCAGGCTCTGCGAGTGACTTGCGGTCGAGGGCTGGGCTGGGCCGTGCTGGACCGCTTTTCTTATGGTGATGCTCTGTATTAAAAACCCATTCGTTCGCGCGAGGTGCCCATCCCCCCTCTAAGCGCAGAGGAGAACAACCACTGCGGCCCAGCATCATCCCCTCTGCCCTTGGCGCGCACACCGTGGTGATGCTCCACCGTGATGCAGGCGAAGGGTTAATGAGGTTATGGTCGAGAGCGAGCGGTTATCTGCTGCTGGCTCATTACCCAGCGGGCTTTGCCTATCTGAGCGCCCCCAAGCACCCTCCGCTCCACTCGGACCGGCCGTGTGTGTGCGATGCGATCCCCCCCATTACTGCCCTGGTCTAGTGGGAGAGAGGGGAAAAACTGGCGTGTGTGTGTGTGTGACCGAATCGTTCCCGTTCCATAAGAACTTTTCTTGGCACTCTTTTCTCTTGTTGGGTGTTTTAAGTTCTTTACCTCTGTTCCTACTTTCCTATTGGGGGTGGGAGAACGAGTATTGTGCCTGGTAGTGTATAGCAGGGTGAGTTAGAAGCCATCTTTAGCTCAGCAACTAGAACACCTACACAGTTGTTATGCCTGCGGCACCAATTCGTAGCTTCTGATGAGTGTATTAACCAAGAACCAAGCGGCCATCAGTTTTGAATTTAGTCAGTCCGCCTTGACAACTAAAGATGTAAAAAATAGAACTAAAAAAACATGTCACACCAAGCCAGAAGAACGTGTTCCTTATCGAACATGTTTGATGCTCTTTTCTGCTTCTTCTTCTTTTTCTTTGCGTTGCGGCACACTACGCGTTAATCGTCTCTCATCGAACTGCATTTTTACTTATTTATTGGTGGGCTGACAGTGAAGGGTGTTGCC